TTTGTTCCCTGGCTCAGTGCGTGCATCCTTCCCTACGTATGGGGAAGCCTCCTAAATCACACTCGGTCTCTGCCCAGGTAGGCCTCCCATCCCCTCCTAGTCAAGGAACCAGGACTAGACAAGGTCCCGCCTGTTGGTTATTTTACTCAAGAACCGAATGCCTGATGCTGCGCACTAGGGAGGGACCTGGATGCCACTGCCTCCCCACCACGGCCCGGGTCTAGATGAGGGTCACTGTGAAGTCTTTTTCAGACTCAAATGCCTGGCCCCGCCTAGAGTGAGCCAGGCAGGGCATTAGGCATCCTGCCTGGATGACTTCCGTTGCACAGCAGAGGAAACCGTGGCACAGAGCTCGGTGTGGTAACCGTGCCGGGGTCACCCAGCCAGCCGTGTGCACCGAGTTTCCAGCCAGGCCTGCCTGGCTTCAGAGCCTCCCATGCTGACCCACTGCTCAGACACTGCAGCGTGGGGCCCGGCAGACAAGGTTTCTTAAAACCATAAGAGGTGATTTTGATGCGCATGGGTGGCCCGGGTGCATGGCATATTTAATGTGGACCGCATTACGGAGGCAAGACTTGGTCCTGAAATTGCTTTCTTCCCGAGCTCTGGCCGGGGTGCTCCATCACGTGTGGGTACCAAGAAAAGCCAGCTTTGGCCCAAATACAGACACCACTGGGTCTCTGCACCCATCTGTATTTCTCGTCTCTCCCTTCCTCATGCCTCAGACCTGTCAACAGCCCCTGTGGGCATTCCCTCTCCCCTGGTAGCCTCCAGAGCAAAAGGGACAGTCTATGTTAGGGATTTGTCCACAAGCCAGGGGGGTGGCGGAGAGTAGCTCTCATATAGAGCTCATGAGTAGCTCTGCATGAGAGCTACTAATCTCTATAGCAGAGCCACTCCCCTCCCTGCTTTGAGATCTGGGAGGAGGTGGCACAGGAGGTCATGTAGATGCCACCAGAACCCTGCCTGTCCTACCCTTCTCCCAGCCCTATCCTCTCACTGTCAACCCAGCACAATGGGCTGGTGCCAACGGCGTTTCAGAGAAAGCCATCTGGGTGGCTGGGGAGCAGACTAGCAAGAAAGCCGGAGGGGAGATGGTGGGAACCTTGCTGCCCCCTTGCCCTCGGCTGGTGTGAGCATGCCCACCCCGTCCCCAGCAGACTCTGGACACGTGGCCCCCTGCGCTGTCGAGCCAGCACCTTTTCTTCTCGCTGCTGTCCCTGGCGCTTTCCTGATATCCCTTCCAGGGTTGCATGGCATCTTTCAAGCTCTGTTACTATGGCGATGGCCGCGCTGTTACAGTCCCACTTGCCTGGATAATCAAGTCAGAAAGGGAAGTGGAGGGAAGCAGAGCCCAGCGGACGCGGCTTCTCTGTTCCCTCCGCCTTGAGGAAGAACCAAGGACAAGGAACACAATCTTCTGCAACTGGTTTTTACCGGAAAGAGGTCCCTGCCTGCAGGTGCCATCAAAGAGGCTGGAGAAATGGGAGCTGGAGAAGGCATTAAAGTGGTCGCATGTGACAGAGCAGATAGAGCTGTCTATTAAGTTAATTTAATTTAATTTTTAATTTATTGGGTGAATAGGTTAATAAAATTATATGGGTTTCACGTGTACAATCCTATAGTACATCACCTGTATATAGTCTTGTGTGTTCACTACCCACGTCACGTCTCCTTCCATCACCATTCATCTCCCCTGTACCTCTTCCACCCCACCCCCACCCCCACCCCCTCTCCTTTCCCTCTGGTAATCGCCATACTGTGGTCTGTGTCTATGAGTTGATTGTTGTGTGTGCTTAATCCCTTCATCTTTTTCATCTTCCCCTCTAACAGCTGTCAGTCTGCTCTCTGCCTAGGAGTCTGTTTGTATTTTGTTTGCTAGTTTATTTTCTAAACTCGGCATGACTTTGGGAAACCATTTCACCTCCCTGTAGCCATCTCCAGAGTGAGGAAGCCCAGTGTGTCGTCTCCTGGAACCAGGGAAACTGAGGATGTTGATAACCAGTGAATACACCACTGGTTTGTCAGTTACACTTGTGCCACACACACACAAAACTTCTTGGACAGTCTACAAAAACAAGCCATGCCCCTGACGATATACAGTGTCCCCTGTGGCCCTGGCCGGTGTGGCTCCGTTGGATGCCCTGAGAGGTTCGATCCCCAGCCAGGGCACATGCCCGGGATTGCAGGCTCGATCCCCGGTGGGTGGGCATGTAAGAGGCAGCCGATCGATGTTTCCCTCTCACGTCGGTGTTTTTCATTCTCCCTTCCTAACTGTGTGCACTGCGTTTCCAGCCCAGGGCCATCTGGTCAGGTGCCACAAAGGTCTGAAAATCAATTTAAAAATCTTTTTTTTAAGTGTCAGATGCATGTGGGGACATTTGGGGGCAGGTGGGATGATTGAGCGAAGGATTTTATTTATTGGTCCCCCTACCCTCCAGGGAAAACCCTCTCGAGGCTTCCTTTCGGGCGGGAGGGTTTAACTTCAGCTCTAGGGAGGACGCGCGGCCAGGGCAGGGTTTCCCAGATGTCAGGCCAGATGTGTTCCCCAGCCCAAGAGTAGAAGCTGCCAAGCGTCGCTCTTGACAGGAAGAACGGTGCCTCTCTGCCTTCCCCGTCTTGGCTCTGCAGCTCCTTTACTTTGAGCAGAATTCACCCAACGTCAGATCAGATCGGAGTACCCTGCTCTTCATGTTTATGACTCACTGACTCGAGTCCCAGGAAGTCCTTGGAAGCGGCCCTCTTAAGGGGGACTGTCTCAGGCATAGTGATCGAGGGGGTGAAAGGCCAGCTCCGGGCCTGGATGTCACAGACTCATCACCGTCCGCAGAGGAGAGCGAGAGGCACAAGACCTCTAGGCTGCTGAGCCGCGGTCGGAGCAGGACTTGTGAAGCGAGGCTGGGATCTTTCAGTGCTTTTGCTCTGGGCCAAACAGAGCCGCCTTCGGTGTTTTTAACGTCCTCCTGCATTCCCTTCTGCCGATAAATAACATCCGACCAAACTTACGTTCCTGGTCTTGGGTCTCCGGTCGCCTCGTGAGCCAGGTGGAACCGTTGGGGAGAAATGCAAAGAAGCACTAGGTGCAGTGGGTGGCATCTGACGCTAGTTTATTAAGGAAGCGCTTCCAGAGAAACCAGTAAGGGAATGAGTGGAGCGGGGAGAGGCCAAGCCAGAAGGCGCCTTTCCAAGAAGGCACAGCTCACGGTTTGGGGCGGGGCCTTAGAGTGCCAGGTGCATCTCAGAGTCGTCCCACCCTGAGGTCTTTGTGATCCCACGCTCAGTCCTTGGAGATGGGGTGATTGGGGGCAGGGGGCAGGCGGAACCTTTCCGTCTCTACTGAGGAGGCCCCAACCCCCTGAAGGTGCCAGGTACCACAAAGGTCCAGGACGGATCATGGAACTGGTAGAAGGGATGTGGACATGACACCTATAGTGCCCACCACAGTGGTTCCTAGAACATATAGGCTGATTTAAGGACAGTTTTTCCATGGATGGATTATGATGGATATTTAAATTGTAAATTACAGTTGACCGTTAAACAACATGGCAGCTTGGGGTGCCAACCCTCCCCCCTGTGCAGTAGAAAATCTACCTGTAACTTTTGACTCTCCAAAACTTAACTACTAACAGCCTCCTATTGACTGGAAGCCTTACGGATAATGTAAATAACTGATGAACACATATTTTGCCCATTATATGTGTTATATACTGTATTCTTAAAGTAAGCCAGAAAAAAAGACAGTGTTATTAAGAAAGTCATAAGGAAGAGAAAATACATTTACAATATTGAGAAAAACTGTGTATCAGTAGACCCGCTCGGCTCAAGCCCGAGTTGTTGAAGACTCAGTGGTAATAGCACCAGGTGACAACTCACGCCTCTCCGGGCAATACTGTGAAGCCACCATAACACGTCATCAGGCAGAACTTTCTGGTTGCAATTACTTGAAAACCAACTCAAACGTGGCTTCAATAAAAGGACTTAATGAGGTTCCTATAACAATATGGGCTTCAGGGAGAGCGGGATTCAGAGACTCAGGTGACAATATTAAAATCATGTCTTTCTGGCCCAACGAGCGTGGCTCCGTGGTAGAGCTTCGACCTCTGAACCAGGAGGTCACTGTTTGATTCTGGTCAGGGCACATGCCCAAGTTGTGGGTTCGGTCCCCAGTGGGGGATGTGCAGGAGGCAGCCGATCAATGATTCTCCTCATCGATGTTTGTATCTCTCTCTTCCTCTCTGAAATAAAAAATATATTTTAAAAAACAAAATCATGTCTTTCCAGCCCTCAATGCTGTTTTCCTTGGAAGTGTTGGATTTGCAGGCAGTCCAGTCCCACGTGGTAGTAAAGTGGCCTCCAGCAGCTTTGTGCCCCAAGGTTGACTAGTTAACTTGTCTCCACACCTTTCACTCTAGCCTTTGGGACTTGGTGGGCTGGCCAGGCCTGGGTAGGGTGGTGAGCCCAGGAAGCGGGGACAGAGGTGGGTGGGGGGATGGCGTCTATGGCTGTAAGTCACATTGACTGCGAGTGGGGGAGCAGTGGGTCCCTAAAGGAAAAGAGAGGGTCGGTTATCTAGAAAAACAACCTGTCCTCAACCCACTGTTCCAAGGAAGAGACTAGAACTTGGTCTCTTGGTACGTCTCAGATCAGGTAAATGCAGGGGGAAGTGCCCCACCAGAGTGGCCCCATTTGCCCATCAGAGATATCAGGGTGCAGGCTCATTAGCTTATCCACGTGATGACATGCTTAGTGATGGTTCTGTGCATGACCTTGAACATGAACCACTGGGCAAGTTCCCCCAACCGGCTGCCCAGCCCAAGGGTACTGTTTAGGCCAACCCTCCCCTCGGTGGATTCTCAGGACTATGAGACGGAGAAGGGAAGTGACTGTGTGACCTCCCCTCTGCCCCTGGGGAGGTTGGGCTGTGCGGCCAGATCCTCCCACAGTCTTTGGGGACCAGCCTTCCACGAGGAAATGAAAACGCAAAGGCCTTTCGCTGGAAGCGCACACCAGTTTTTTAATAAAGTCATTACAAATATGTACAAAGCGTCTCCAAGGTACGAAATTCCTCTTACAAAAGAGCAAACGAACCAGCAAGGCCAGAACCCAGAACGGGAACGTACCCAAGCGTATTGCCTCTCCGGCTGAGCTGGAAGCCTCACCGAGGTTCCAAACACCCCACAGCCATCCCCAGCACACACACAGGCTCCGGGGGCTCATAGTGCAAAGGACCTTGGGAGGAACTTGGGGATCGGGTGGGGGAGGGGGCAGGAAGGAGGTAAGAAACGCTTCCCATGTCCTGGGGAGTAAGTCAAACAGGTCCTGTTTGCAAAATAGATGCTCCTCCCAGCGCCCTGCTAGAAACCAGGAACGCAAAAGGCAGGGGACAAATGCATAAAACCCCAGTTAAACCATCCAGCCTGCCCTGCAGTGTCCCCAAATGCAACACTTTACCGTGGGCCTACGTCAGGCTCCCCAGCTCCCTGCACAGCCCTGGCTTGGGCTTGCCCTTGAACTAGCAATGTCTTGGGACCAGCAGGCTGCTCACAGGCTTAACTTCACTCTTTGTGTAACCTCTCTGAGACTCAGTTTCCTCACCTGTAAAATGGGAATGATGACTACCAACCTCCAGAGTGAGGAATCACCAAGGGGGACACGTGTAAAGCACTCCGCAGACGGCTCAGGAGCGGCGAGCCGTTGGTAAATGGTGGCTCTCGTTTCATTGCTGAGCAAAGCAGCAAGAACCAGTGTCTTTGCACTCAGAGTGAGTTGAGATCACGGGCTTTTTAATCGCCTTCACGATAGTGTGGCCGCTCAGTAAATAAAAATACTATAGAACAATCTGCCAGCGAGGCTTGGGGTCACAATGATGACCTGAGAAATCTGTTAAAAACTGTGAACCAGCCTGGGAAGGGACATTAGCATCATGTGTTCCAAGCAGGGCTGCCCCTCCGTGACTAATAAGTCTCTTCCCAGATGGGATTCTACAACCTGGCACATCGTAGGTGCTCGATAAACAGGTGTTTTGATTGAACAAATTAAAATTACAAAAAGAAACTTTCAGTTTAAGTTTTAAAAGGACCCTTGGACATCAATTTCCTCTTCCTATCAGTTCCTATGGGACTAGGACAGGGTGTCTATCCTGCCCCCGCTTAACCCCCAAAGCTTCTGACCCTCTGATTGGCCCAGGGGGGCTTAAGGGAACATTTAGAAGAAGAATTCTTATCAATAAAACTTATATTCTGATCACTGCAGCTTCCGATACCTGGTGGACACTCAGAAAGTCCACAGTGGCAAACTAGTGTCCCCAGAAGATGCTTGTGTAGAGTCAGGGGAGGACTCCCCCAATATCACAAGCGCGGGGACATCGTATTTTGTCGCTGTGAGAAACGAAATAGAGCTAGGAGTACATGCGATCAGATACATCAGTTGTGAAATCAAAGTCACAGCTCCATTGTTCTGTGACAGTATTCTTTTCCATCACCATTTTTCATCAAAATAGAAAAGAATTTTAAAACGAGACCACTGGAAGAAGTGGAAAAGGAGTCTCCAGTATCCCAATGAAAGGGGGGGGTGGGGGTGGGGATTGGGTTCTCCCAGCCGCTGATGGCGCAGGACCATGGACAGCGGCCAACGAGGCAAATGGGCACCCCCAAAGAAACCTGTTCCTCCAGCCACATCTACGCCAAAGGGAATATGAAACGGAACCCCAAATTTGAAAAGGGGAAAAGAGATCGTATTGTACTGAGGAGGGAGGGGTAGGGGAGAGAAGCATCCAGACGGGAATGGAACAGCTTTGGTACGCTGAAGTCCCAGAGGCTCCAATCCCCATGGCTCCTGGCCCCCACCCTCTGACAGTACCCAGCCAGCCACCACCAGGAAGGAGGAGGCCCTACCGTCGGCTCCTCACCTCATTATGCAGTTAGCTACCTAAACAATGATCTCACAGGCCTCCCTCTGCGCTGCCTGGACACACACACACACACACACACACACACACACACACTGCTGTCTGCCGAAACCCGATATGAGGTCTTTTTTAAAATTTATTCCAAAGCCTCCCTCCCTCCCTCTCTCTTCACAGACGCTCTACAGTGAAACTAATCAAAATCAATGGCTCCTTGGCAGCCAGAGAAAAGGGGGGCGGGGGAGAGGGAGAAATGATGCCAGCACTTTGCACACTGGGGAAATATTTTTTTAAAAACAAAAAAAAACAAAACACAAAACACCACCCCACTATCTCATGGCATCCCAGTAATGCAACAGGAGAGACGGTGGAGACAATATATACATATAGACCATGCTTCCATTTCCTAATACAAATGTCCATCAAGAAGTACAATCTCATATAAAAACGAGCATTAAAAACAACCCCTTGTCCAAAACCGGGGCAGCAGAGAAGTGCACTCACATGGATGATATGCAAGAAAAAAGCCAGGATTCGGTAGATACACGGTTCCTAACAATACAAGAGGGTATGTACAAGGGACTTGGTTGCAAAGTTCCATCAGGAGGTCACGGGTGCCCAGTTCTCTCAGCAGTGTGGCTTCATCGAAATCAAAATGGCCCAAACGACCAGCCCCGGCATTCAGAGTTTGGATCCTCCAGCGGACATGCCGTGAGCTAGTAGGCAAGTCAGGGTTGAAAAGGGGACCCTCCGACCTTCCCCCTGTGTCCAGGCGGTCACAGGCCCCCACTCTGGGGTAGCCTAAACACAGCAGGGAGCTGTGCTGGCTATGACTACAATCATGAAGAACCCCTCCCCCAAAGGGGGTGAGCTGGACAGGCTCTGGTGTCTTCATAAAAGCAGAGACCGTATTTCCCATCATCCTAATCATGCATTTGCCTTCCCTAAGGTGGCGGCTTGGTGGGGAAGTCACCTGCTGCTCTCCACAGACCATGCCCACATACCCGTTCCCTGTAAACCTCACTGCGGGGAGGGCTCCAGCCACAGAAGCTAACAAGTCTGGGGGTGAGGGTGGGAGGTGCCCTCCCTTCGGCAACTCGCGTTGCATCTTTCTTTAAAGCGTTATTTAGGAAAACATCAGACGTGGATTTTTTTTAAGTTTTTTTCTTTTTTTAAGAAAGTCAGCTCCCAGCTTGCAGCAGCGCGCAGAGGTCCCTCATTGTAAAGGACCCGGTGATTTTCAGCAAAGCCTATGGGGATGATTCCCGTTCGGCCCCATGTCAACTTGAACAACGGCTGATCCCTCTGCCGGCTTCTTAGAACTGCAAGCGTGTCTGCTAACCAGCCCAGCGCACCCCCTGTCCGCGGGTCCTGGGTGGTGACCTACAAATCCAGCCTTGTAGAATGAATGACTCAACCCGCAGCCTGGCCCCTCACCATCCCAGCTTTGAAAACGGCCGTGTGAGAGCCTGCACAGAGGAATAATACCTGGTTTTGTTGGATTTTTTTTAAAATTGGAAGCAAAAAAATAAGCATTGTTCCCTGAAGAGTCTTTGCAGCCAAGTCTCAGTTCAGCACACATTTTTTTTTTAGCCCTTCTAGAAACTTCTGAAAATAGGAGCTCATTTGGGGGGG